GATAAAAGCAAGGGAAAAGGGGGAAAAAAAAATAAAAAAAAAAAAAAAAAAAAAAACAACCAAACAAAACCAGTGCGGGGCAACGGCGGGGAGGAACCAGCGCGGCTTAACTTTACCACGAACCGCTGGAAGAAATTCTCCGAAATAAAACCGGGCTGGAGCGGGGCTGCAGGGCACAGCCCGGCAGGGATGGGGGATGTCTCCCTCGGAGCCGTAGGAAGGTCTCTTAAGGCAGGGACGGACCAAAGGCAAAGCAAGAAAAGAAATAAATCTCCCCGGCGTGAACCCAGCTCACCTTCCCCCACCCTCGCCAAATACCTCAAACTCATACCTCTAACTAGGATCCTCCTGCAATAGTCCGGATCAGCCGAACTAGATTTACTTTTATTACAATCTTCCGTAGCTGCAGAGGCAGAAAAAGTCCCTTGCTGATCCTTCAAAAAAGAAGTAGAAATATTTCCTTCAGACCCTTTGCTTTCCTTGCCCTCTTTATGTCCGTTCTTCGAGACCCGGTTAGCTTCAGTCTCTGAACTGCATCTAACGTCCATTTTGTCTTGTTTCCCAAACATGTAGTGCAATAAAAACAAAAACAAAAACAAAAAACCAACAAGAAAAAATTCTAGAAGAGTAGTAGAAGAAGAAGAAGAAGACGAAGTCTATGCTGGATATTGCACGGCTTAGGGTCAGATCGGTGGGGATCTGTAAAGCACCTTGAGTAAGGAAGGTCGGGTTTTATCCCACTGGAAAAGCAGCGGCTTCCTCAGTCCCAGCGTCCTAATGTGACTGTCCAGCTTCCCAGAGCGCCCAGTGATCAGGTACTCAACAGTACAACTCTAAAATGATTTAATGTCTGCCTTATTACAGAGACATGTAGTTGTTAGACACACAGAGGGACGCGCACTCGCTGTTTCAATTGATTACGGGTAATTTTGCAGCCTCCACATTTAGGTTACCTCATGAATACACTAAATTGTTTGGATAATATATCAGATCGTAATGGATGGTTTGTGTGCTTGTCCCCAATCAAGTAGAGTTTAGCCAGTGAATAAACTGAAATGATTGGTCTTGCTTTCAGGAAACACACAATCAAAAGACTGAGACTTCCAGAAAAAAAAAAAAAAAAAAAAAGGGGGGGGGAGAGGGGAAAAAAAAAAACTTTTGACAAGATTCACCCTGAATTGTTAGCACCATTAGCAGCCATTATTAACTTTCTTCAGTATGCCTTTGACCTCCCGATTATATAGTGGCTTTCTCCAAAGCACGCCAAATAAATCTGAATAAAGCTGCGAGGAAGGGCTGGAAAAATGCAGTTGTAGGGGGGTGGAAAAAAAAAAAAAAAAGCCCCCTGGATTCTAAACCAACAAACAGATCCCCAGCACGCACACCCACAAAAAGTTCTTCCTTCAAGCAGATGTCTCCAAAGAAGCAGGTTATCTTGGCCAGCAGAAATCCTCCTTAACACATCTCCCCACAGACAGCCATCTTAAACTCCTACCTCTCCTTATTTCAGTCCCGATACTTGCTTTTTGTGCTTCTCCCTCTGTGTGTGTGTATGTGTGCGTGCATGTGTGTGTGCTAATTCTGCACCTTCGCAAACACTGAACCTATTCGCAGAGCCTGCTCATTGAAAAAAAAAAAAAAAAAAAGGGCAAAAAAAAAAAAGCCAGCTTTGTGTGCAGTGGATCCCGGAGGGGGGAGAAAGGGAGAGGGGGAGAAAGAGGGAGGGAGGAAGGGAGGGAGGAAGGGAGGGAGAGAGATAGCCCGTGAAAAATCTCAACTGCGTGATCCACTAAAGGAGAAAAAAGTTTTACTCTAGCTATTTCATTGTCTCTGCTACAATATCTTTGAGAACCGCAACAGCCAGTAATCCAATAAGACCATTGATTAGGCTACAATGATTCAATTCAAGCAAATGGCCTTGTGCAAAGAGCATGCTCCAGTCCTTCTTGTCACCTTGCAGGGCAGAAGCCCTCTTCATGCTGCTCTCCTTATTCATTCCTTTATGGGAAATGTAGAGCAAAAGGAGTGAAAGATGGCAATTATCTAATTGGACTATTAACAAACAATTCTCTGAGTGTGGCTGTCTGGCAGTGGTTCTTGGGCGAGGTGAAAGGCCACATGTTGCACTGGCCCCATTCACAAAGAGTTTAGGGGCCTGAGAGAGAGAGAAAGAATTTTCCCTGAGAATTTTTCACACAAACGCCGGAGTATCCATCGGGCGTCCTCCTCGCCGCCTTGTCCTCCGCCTGCCTGGGCCGCTGCCTGGGAATTTCACCCACCTGAAGCAGGCTGGGGGAGCCCTGCCTTCTGCTGCGGATGATATCGGCGGGTAAAGCAGAACGGGGCTGCTCAGCTCCACGGGTCTCATCCTGCTCCCACTGGAAGAATAATAGCCCTCGCCCCGTGGGAGCCAGTCTTTGTCCAAGGCGGTGTAATGGAGTGAAGGATCCAGCGCTAGGGCGTAATAGGTAGAAATAGAGAATTTTGGGGAGGCGATAAAAGACAGGGGGGGAAAGAGGAGAAAGGAAAGGAAAAGAGAAGAAAGGAAAGGAAGGGAAAATAAGCAAAAGGTGAAAAAAGAAAAAAATAAAAGAAAAAAGAAAAGAAAAAAGAGAAGGAGAAGGAGAAGGAGAAGGAGAAGGAGAAGGAGAAGGAGAAGGAGAAGGAGAAGGAGAGGA